ACCTGAAATCAGGGTGAATATTATATGCAATACCTGTTAGCATGAACATCTACATCAGTAGTTCTCAACCCCCCTTTTATTCTCATAGAACATCCATGTGTTCAGTGTGCCGCAGCACACCGGTTGAGAACCACTGATCTACATCACAACTTGTACAGTTTATTCAAATGGGGAAAGTTACTTTTATCTGTTTCCTGTAGAGACTATGTTGAAAAAGCATCATTGGTAGAAATAGTGTGGATCCTTTTTTTTAAGCAGTAATGCACATAAGTTTTTATTCACTGAGAGGAGCAAATTTTCCCTCTGATTAAGTGAACTTACTCTCATTTCCTAATTATATGAATTCTGTGCGTTACTGACCTGCTTAAGCCATGGTAGGTCTTGTACTAAGGATTTTTTCTCTTCCCATCCCTACCGCTGTTCTCTTTGGCCAATGCTTTCTCAGGTTTCACTAGGAGCAGATTTCTATGCTAGGGTATTCTGTTTCTTCCTGTATGCAGAGTATGATACAAGCAATGATCTTTTTGAAAGAAACTCAAGTCAAATTTTAACTAGCATATTAATATTAGACCTTATACAAGATGATGTGAAAAACAAGCATCCTGATTGATTCCCTGTTTGAAACATTAGATTCATAATTTTTTGTATGATTGTAAAAAAAAAACTTGAAAACTTCATCTTTAACAAGTCTGAAGTGTTGGGGTTGTTTTGTATAAAAAAAGAATTTACTTTCAGCAGAAAATTCAGCTTTTCTTTTAAATATTGTGCTGTAGCAGTTTCATCTCTGTTCTTCAAATGGCTCTCTTTTTCCTTGCCTGTTTTCTTAGCTTGACAATCTTGACTGTGTGGTTTTTCCATGCCAAAACTGAGGAAAAAAAGACATTGCTGTGATATATGTGTGTTTTTGAAGAGAAACGACAGTCTGTGGTTCATATCATAACTCTGAAGTAATCATCTTCTCTCACTGGCCCTTCCCATTAAGACATTTTGACCGTTCATTTTTCAGCTGTGATGACTGCTATGTACCATTAGGAACATAATACCAATGATGTAGCATGGAGGAAATGTCCAATTTTCTTAAACCTTAAATCCTAAGCCCAAGCCCCAAGTTTGTCTGGCCCTTTGGGGCTCCCATCTCTCTCACTCCCTGTAAAGAAGAAGGACCCCTAAATTCTAAGGGACTCAGAAATCCTGCTAATTTTATCTTTTCCAAGAGTGGATACTCCACTGCTCTTTTTTGGGGTTGAGAAAAAAGTAAGTGGCTGATTCAGCCATGGAATCCATGTCATTCAACCTGACAGGCTGCATGAAGTGATTGCTATAATGGACATGGCATGACTGGAAACAATGTGGTAGGGTTGTAGTTCATCCAGAGGAAGCAAGCACCTTTTTTTCAG